AACACGAAATAAAAGCCACGTGGTGGTGGTGGTCATCGCGCACGCCACGGTGACGAGCGAGCGCTTCAGAAGGTGAACACGAGGGTTCCGGCTCCCCAGCGTTCGAAGAAGACATGCCGCACATCACCGACATGTGTGTGGTACGCGTGCTCCAGCCGGAGCCGCGCCTTGAGCAGGCCCCTGAACACTGAAAGCATAGAGCAGCCGTCAGTGTCACCTTCCAGCATCTTTATTCTCGTTCTGTACCACCGCCATCTTCGCTTGAGCATAGGCGAAGTTGGCGAGGTCATGGCGCTTGTTAGCCAGGTAAGGCACCACCCCATATACGAAGCTGCTGTTGTAGAAGGGCACCCCCAGTTTCCTGAAGATGTCCCCCAAAAGGCGGAACATTGTTTTGAGCTGCTGGCAGCATAAGTACTGGAAAGAGAGATAGAGACAGAGAGAGACAGAGAGAGAGACAGACAGAGAGAGACAGAGACAGACAGAGAGAGACAGAGAGAGACAGAGACAGAGAAAGAGGCAGAGAGAGAGACGACGTTCGCCGCACAGATGGGGAGAGGCATCGTCTCGTGTGCAGCAACTGGGACGATGCTCGCACGACGAGGCGCGGGAGGGATAGCGGCGGCTTGGAGGGGAGAGGGCGTGGGGGGCGGAGCTTAATATAGCAGTGGATATATCGTGGCTGAAATAACATTTCATAACAGCTTTAAAACAACAACATCAACAATGCCGCATTGTACACAGAATCGCGCAATGCGGCAGGCTTTGACTTCGCCGTGACCCTGAAGTGTTGCGGTTGTTCCTGTGGTGGTGGTCCTTGTTGTTGTTGTTGTTCTGGAGTCGCCGCTGCTGCTGGTGGTCATCGTGGGGGTGGTACAAGTAATGGTGGTGAGGAAGAGGTCGCTGCTGGTTTGGCAATGACGCTCGCACGCTCACACCAACTTCCTCTGTCCCCGTGCTCACTGCGCAACGCGTGCCACGCGCCAGCGCGGGTGACGATAGCGAGAAAACCATCATCATCAGCAGCAGCAGCATCATCATCAGCAGCCATGATATATCTACTGCCCCGAACCGTATTTGTTGTCCTTCCACCGCACCTCCGATTAGCACGGTTGGCTACGGACGGCCCGAACCACGTTCATCACACACGCATGTGTCCATCACTCTGACAGCGACGACACCCTCAGCTACTCCCGACGCAATTTATCTGGCCGCGATCTCGAGCCCTGGCGATGTCGCTCATCGGTACATAGGCGCGTCCAGGGGTGCACGTGGCCAACAGAGATGTGGCCTGGTCTGCGTTACGCCACAGCCGCCCACGTGTGTCAGTGTGGTCGATAGCGGGACTCGTGGCGAACGGTGTTGCAACAGACACTCGCAATATTCAACAAAGAATCTGACGAGGTGCCTTGGCTCCCACATCACCCAGCACCCGCGCACGTGCCGATCGCTGAGCCGTTATGATAACGCCATCGCTTCCTTCCACCCGCTAGATCTCACAGACGAGTCTACGCTATTGCGCATAGCAGTACGAAGGGGGCTTCAGCAGAAAGAGAGTTCGTATTTAAGTGCTGCTCCTCCTCTTCCATTGGAGGAGCGCAGGCCACAGTGGTTTACTATACAGCCCATAGTTGTGGGTTGCTAGGCCGCAACTGCACAATCGTGGCTTGTCTTTAACGTATACCTGTGCAACTCGATTGGTCATCTACGTGTCTCCATGAGTCTCTGTGTATCTCCTCTGAGTCTCTGTGCATCTGTGTGTGTGTCTATGGGCTTACTGTGCGGTCCGTAGTGTGAGTTGCATGACCACAACCCCACGGCTGTTAACTGCCTCTTTAATGTCCCGCGTCTAAAGGTTGCAGCGGCCGGCACCGGACCATCCCTCGACGTCTTGTGATGCAACACAATCAACATGCAACAACAGCAACAAAGTCAACACGTTCGTCAATAACACCGAGGCCTTGAAAAGAAAGAAAAAACAAGTATAGAATGGGCAACGTTTCGGGAAATGACCTTTCTGCAACAGCACATAGAGAGGTCATGATACTAGCTCTGATACACGAGCTGTCTGGCGTGTCTGCTTCCTTCGGCTGTCATTCCATCGATTGTCTCGATGAGAGGACTGCATTCCTTGTAGCGACGTGTCTGCTCAGGCTCACAAACTAAACTACTAAACTGTTAACTTTTATTATTTTACAAGGGAAGGCTCACTGAGCTATACAGCTTTTTACAGAAGCGACCTGGCTTAAATTGAAATGTATAGCGGCCAAATGCTCGAAACGAATTTTTTATTCTGAATATGGGGGTGAAAAACCCAGAGGACCCGGAAAAAATCCACGCGACCAAGGGAAAGAACATGCAAACTCCAATTGTACAGCAGGCGTCAGGGTCAGGATCGAACCCACGACCTCACGTACACCAGGCGAGGTAGTTAACATCTCACCACTGTGGCGCCGTCCTTTTCGCGACAGTCAGAATGACGTCTCGCTCGCCGATGGTCTCTCGTCGACGTCTTCCTCTTTTCGTCTCTCCAGAGCCATCGCACGCGCGCGCTAAGCCAGGAGAGGACATAGACTAATCATTGATTAATCGATTAATTTAGATGATGAGGTCTATCGACAAGTGCACGCATCGAATAAGAAACTACGCATTTTTTGTCCGGTGTTGCAAGTGATTTGAAAATGCTCAACACATGATATCATTGTGGAACGTAATTTTTTGTTCCTGTGTAGTGTTATTGCTTATGCCTCAAAAGTACAGAAAATGGCTATTATTCCCCTCAATTTTTTTTTGTGACCAGGACATTGATATTTTGAAATTTACCTATTTTCCAGAACATTCCAGATAGATTCAGTGCTGAGTAAACTTGGAGTAACTTCTAGAACATTCTAGAACTTTCCAGTAATATAAATAGTCGTGTAAATATGTAACGGGTTCCGGAGACACTTGTAGAGGTAACTTCTTTATTACAATACAACACTCCAACAGTCCTGATACTCTGTTACAGCCTAGGTACACAGTCTAGCTACACAGCCTAGATCCACTACTCTGGCTACGCTCTGGAACTCGCCCTCACAAGGTCGTAGAGTCGGGAGTTCCAGAGTCCCAGCGCTGGCTCTCACAGCATCCCAGGGTCTTCAGATGGCTGGTCGTGGGTCTTGGGTCTTGAGTTACAACTGGGCCCCGATCGTCCAGGGAGCTCTCCTTTTATGCCTGGTCCAACGAGGGGTGGGGCCTTGTGCGCCACCAGACATCCCACAGAGCACACACAGCCCCCCCCCCGTTGGCGGCGCCCAGGGGATTAAGCGCCTGGGAACTCAACGCCTGGCGCCCAGAGGCTTAAGCGTCTGGACCCCCTGGGAACCCAGCGCCTGGCGCCCAAAGGCTTAAGCGTCTGGACTCGCCTGGGATCCCAGAGCCCCCAGCAGCCCCTCCCTTCTTATGTCACTACAAATACAGGGGGCCTTAAGCCCACCAGTTCAATTTAGTTCCAGCTTCCTAAGCTGTGTGAGGCGAAGGTCAAAGCCGGTGTCTTCGTCGGACCACAGATAAAGAAGATCCTGGACTGCAATGAATTCCCCAAGAAGCTCACTAGAAAGAAGAAAGTGGGTTGGAACAGCTTTGTCGCAGTGGTTCGTAGCTTTCTGGGCAATCACAAGGTCGAAAACTATGTGGAGCTGGTTGAGACTCTGGTGAAGAACTACGGCACAATGGGCTGTAGGATGTCCCTCAAAGTCCATATCCTTGATGCTCATCTTGATAAATTCAAGGAGAACATGGGAGCGTACTCGGAGGAGCAAGGCGAGCACTTCCAACGGGATATACTGAACTTTGAAAGCCGCTATAAAGGACAGTATAACGCGAACATGATGGGAGACTACATTTGGGGGCTGATTCGTGAAAGTGATTTACAGTATAATCGTAAATCTCGAAAAGCTACTCACTTCTAAATCTTTAGTAGGAATTTTTTTTATTACTTTAGTATAAATACATTTTAATTTTGATTCATGATTTTTTCTGACTTTATGTGAACGAAAAGACACAAATTCGCCCATTTTCTCATTGAAAATAGGTAAATTTTAAAATATCACTGCCTTGGTCACAAAAGCAAAGTTTACAGGGAATAATGGCCATTTTCTATACTTTTTAGGCATAAGCAATTACGAAATAACACTTACTACCCAGTAACAAAAATTGTGTTACATAGTGTATTCAAATACATTCGTGTGTATGTTGTCAGCTGTTGAGTCTCGCGTTTCGGGCCGTTTGTACCTTTTCATGTGCATTGTCTTTAGCTTTTCTCATTTTGCTCTGCCTAGTTCCGTCTTCTGCCCCGATCATCATCCCATGGATAATTTGCATATCCTTTGCATTGCACGCACACCGCCGAATCTCACGCGCCCCATTCGATGCGTTTATCCCAACGTTGAGCTCGGCGGTGCACTTTTGTTTTTAATCGCCCCATCGTCACGTAACCTACAGCGACAATCCAGAGGCGCTACGATCTTGATTATGGCGGGGGTGGGGGGGCAGGGCTCCAGTCAAATATCCCCCTTTCCCCCCTATTCGTAGCCCGGCGCCGTGGCCCCTCCAGAGGGTGCTTGGTCTATTCCTCCCACGTTGAGCCAGAAATGTTGGCGGGGGTGTAGCAGAGGTAGGGGAGTACCCAGACTTGCTGATGAACCGACTGCGGTGCGCACATTCATGCAGAGTCGATTTGTGGTGGGGGGCAGGGTGGAAGGGGCTAAGGCACCTGACCAGTGTCAGGTGCCTTAGCCCCTTACGCCACAACAGAAGTTTTGTAACGAAGCAATGTTTGCCATGAACATGTTTCCGGACATGACAGCTCACAGCTGTGGCCACCTCTGAGTCACCCGGGCACCCACCGCAGGTCTGTCTCGGTGGCAAATGCGGGAGTTTGGATAAACATTTAAACGGGCTATCGTGGCACATGGCAAAAAAATAATATGGAACACAAAAATTGGCAACCGAATATAATGTCGTTAAAAAAATACCTTTATTTGATTGGAAACCAACAAAAAAATACCAAAAGTTGTTTACCAAAAATACACATGTAACAAAAAATAAATAAATTGGTATTTCCACGCGTCATAATGGCAAAAACCACATTACAGATTGCACGAGTCCAAACGATATCGCCCTTCATCATCAAGAACATAACGTTCCAAATTCGTTTGCGATGAAGGATTGTAAACAGTAGCAGCTAGTTCATGGTGATTTTCCTGAGTGCAATAGTTTTTTTCACTGGTCATAAATATATAATAAATTATATTTTAATACACATTAGTGTTTGTACCTGTATCACAGACATTTCTCGTGAAACTTCACAGTTAAGTCTCCACTTATTGCCGTCCAAATTCGAAAAGCACACATCTTCTGCTATTTTCAAGAACAGTCATGCTAAAGTTTGAGCGCGCATAAATAAAATCGCACGCGCATTTAAAGCTGAAATGTATTCATCTGATGAGGATTTCTGCCGATCAGATGAATTCAAACTTGAATTCACCACGGTCATTTACGACACACGATTTAAATTAGTAGATGATAGGTAACACGAGGGCAATAGACTCAACATTTAGACGGTTGTTAAAACTTAACGGCCACAAATGTGGAGCTGTATGCATTAATCGTACAACATGGGGAGCGGTATGACAGTGGTTAGCGTACTTCATCATGACCCCTAGCCACCAGATACCAGAGTTAGACTCAACGACGGCTAACGTCAGTGGCGAGTGACATCTACACCGATACCCATTCACCGCACCCGCACGACCAGCACGGGGAAGTTTGGTCAATCAACTCCCCACGGCCGACCTGGTGAGTGGGATGGCCTTTTTTTGATTGATAAACATAAGAAATGTCTTCTTTAACAACTTATTGACATTTATTTTGTCACGAATTGTAAACTCTCGTCTTTCAAAAGTGTTCATAATAGCAGTGCGGTTGTCTATGCTGTATTTTAAATTCATGTGTATATATATATATATACCATACGTTAAATCTGTGTATAAAAATATAAGTTAACATTGACTTCATCCATCTCCGTACTGACATGTATATTGCACTTGTAATATATATAATATAAAAAAATTAAATCACGGCACTTTGCTTTCAGGCGAATAGCCAAGGTCACGGCCAAGTCATAAAAATCGGCCAAGTGCCGTTCATCAATTAATACAACGGTGGAACCACAGGTGCATGCCTCGGTTCTTTCCGATTGACAAATCGATGGGGAGTCCTGGAAAAAAAACCCCATAAATTATATTTATTAGATATTTTACTTAACACCCCTTCGCTGAGCTTAAGAAGCCGCGTTTTGGGATCGTTTGTCATTGCCACAGCTCTCTCTTCTGCACAGGCAACAACACAAGAGCACCTGGTCGGTCAGTCACTCACATCGGCAGCCTCACCCAGCTGCCGTCCCGGGTTATCATTTCGCTGATGAAGTCATCTTAATAAAACTCGTAGCCACTAAAGGACAATCACGATGGCAATTTTTTTTAACAGGTTCTCGAACTTGAATCGTGATCACCCCACCGCTCCTCCCCCTCCCGAAACTCCGGCGATCAGAGCGGCAGGGGAGCGAATGAACGAATGAAGTTAGGCGGCTAGTCCCTCCCGGTCATTGGCGCAGGACGCAAGAGACCGCCAACGAAGGTAGTGCGGGCGATGGCAATGTTGACGATACTTCGCCCGCAGCATAGCTGGCAGGCGTTGCACATCACGCGCCGCTCGGCTTTAAAAGAAAAAAAAACCCAACAAACTACTGCGGGGAAACAGACATTGGCACGGGCAGAGCGGCCGAGTTTCCTTTATTTCGCTTTTGTTTACTTTCAGTAAACTCCGCGACTACGGCTGGGGCAGCTCTTCGTTACAGGGGCAGAAAATGACCCTGGCTGAAATTTAATAGACCTAGCAAATATATTTAAACATTAATAGTTCCAATGGCTCTCGATGATGCGTGTGTAGCACTGCACCACTCGTTGTTCGGTACGACGTCCGATATTTCAGTCCGCATGCTGGAAAGCTTTATCAGGAACTGAATTCAGTGGTTGTGGTTTTGCTTATTTTACTTGAGGGGTCGCTTAGGGTTCATTCATAGTGAATAGCAAGTCACGTCGTGGGAGCTTCTACAGAAAAAAATTACGCACGAGGGTTCACAATGAAGTGCTGAACAGCACAACGCAAAATCCCTGCACAGTGGTAGCATTCGTAAACTATTTCAGCGATGACCCGTTAAGGATTTAAAAAAATAAATATTTATATATTATATACCATTTAACATCGGTACATCATACAAAAAAAAATAAACCCCCACAAACACCCAGTCCGAGTGGGGCATCGGGCACGTTGCGACGTCGTTGCGACGATGTTTCCGCCATGTTTTATCCGCGGGGTACCAAGTAGGCAGCGTCTTGGCCTAGCAGAGCCTGCAGCCTCTTCCTCTCCTCACGCTCCTTCTTGCAGAGCGCCACGTACGCGGTCACCTGCGCGCGTGCGGACGACACAGAGGGCGATCGGTTAGAGCTCCGCGCATTCCCAGGACTTGCAGTGTCGCACCAGGGCCCAATTCAATGGGGGCCCGGGCCTGCTAGAGGCTTTAATGGGGGGGGAGGCCCCTCTTAGTGAATGCAAACCATTTCCTTAACTGTGGGACCACCACCGCCCATGTCCGACGCCAAATGCTTCGACCAATTTTTCGAATGCGATGTGCCAATCGTGAAGCCAAATAAATCAAACCAACGTAACTGGCAGCCGTAATGCACGCGGCGATGCCGCAACTTGCATGACTCAAATCACCCTATTAGGACAGTGCTACGTTGATGAATTCCAAGCATTATTAAGCAGTGCGTCCCTATTGGTGCGCCCTCTGCGGCACGAACCCAGCCCGAGAGACGCATCATCGTGTTACCACAACAACTACTACGATGTCCCGACATACGTCAGGATGCGTAACGATGGCATGCACTCACATGTGACCGCAAGTGGGTTGCGGTTTCTAAAAATTACCACCCCGCACCCTGCTTTACGTATGCGGCGGTGGCGGCCCTTGCTATATTACTTCCCCCGGGATCTTTCCATAAACTCCACGCCTCCATAACCCAGAGTAACAGTGTGTGTTTGGGTTGTATTGTTTGGATTGTAGCCAGCAAGGGCGTACCGCGGGTCTGAATGGGCTGTGGTTGGAAGAAAGGAAATGCCTGCCCTCTTGCCCCTGACCTCCCCCCCCACCACCCCCCCTCACCCACCCTGTGTCTAAACTCCCCTCCACTCTTTAGCCCATTAACTGGGCCACTCTGACCCGTGGGGCATGGAGCAGTTGCACCACCTGCACACTTGATAGGTATGCCACTCATAGCCAGCTGGTCGTGTATCTACGATAATATCGCATCTACGCAGACGTCACGTCTACACTGATGAAACTCAAACGGTTTACGGGTAACCATTCCCATCTTGACGACTGCTGGAAATGGAGACAATGCCCAGTTTTTGCGTCATCAAAGCTGCCCTCAATAAACCCCCTCCCTTCCTTGAGTCTTTGATTTGCGAGGGTTCTCAACTTAGTGCAGGGCCGCATGCACGCACGCACGCACGGTGGTGGCATCGTAACCTTACCTGCCAGTTCAAGGCCATGATCTTCTCCTGTGCCTTGCCCACATTGGCGCGCAGGGCATTGCGCTCGCCGCACGTTTTCTTGTGCTCCTTCTTTTCCATGGCGAAGTCCTCCTCGTAGCACTTCACCTGGACGAGCAACACAAGGACCAAACGCGCGTCGGTCAGCGTGGAACCGAGGGGAGGGGGGGTTGGGGGGGGGCGTTTGGAGGTGGCCAGGAGACGGCACAGACGGCGGTAGGCTGGCGAATGCATCTGTGTGGGTCTATTGAGTGTCATCTCCCTTGTATTACGTGGTGGGTTTTCAGCGGTTACTCTGGTTTCCAACCCACGTGCGAAGTCATGAATGGAATTGGCCAAACATCCGAATTGAACTATGACCCTCCCGGAATTAACAGTCTTGAGACTCGGGCTTTCTTGGGTAAATAATTGTCATCATTATTACTTATCGCAGTAGAGAATCCTATTACTAAATGCCACTTAAACATTTTTTGAACGGGTGACATGCGTAAATCTGGTCACGAAAGCACTTGTAAACTTAAACCCCAAATGCATTCTCTGTACGATGCCGATCACACACTTTGGGAATTTTTGGTGCAATTTTATGATTAACGATATTCCGTTGCAGCCCTCACAAACGTCGCGGCTAATTCTCAACAACCCATGACCGTGCTCCAGTTTCTCAGCACAGACGTTGACGGTATTGCACAGAAATTCACAGTTATCGTCAAGCCTTTAAAACATGAGTCACAGCGCCGGTGACGAGCGTAATCTTATTTTTATTTTTTTCTCTCCCCTCCCGACCCCAGTGCCTGGGGCACCATGGTGGCGAGAAGTTAACTAGCTCGCCTGTTATACAGGAGATCGTGGGTTTGATCCCGACCCTAAAGCCTGTATTTTTTGAGTCGTGTGGATTATACATTTTCAACTGATAAGCTACTTCAATGAGCTATCATTTGTGGCCAGGTGTCTTCTGAAAAGGGGCTATGGAGCTCAGTGGGCTTTACCTGGCAAACTAAAAAAATACTTAATAGTTTAATAGACCGGTGTAGAGGTGTGATCGATTACCTGCTGTCGGAGCAGCTCGTTCTGCGTTTCGATCTCCTCCCAGTGCGAGGTCGGCTCGGGTGCGGCCACGCATGCGTGCTGAGGCTGGGGCAGAGTCAGCGCATCCCCCAGAGCCTGTGAAAAACAGCAATGGGCGCGTGAGCACGGGGCGTCTGTCGCGTTTGTTACACTTCCCCCGCACCTCCGACTGGCACGGTTGGCTACGTACGGTGCGAAAGAAGTTCAACGTACACAGATACAATCGGCACGTTTGTATCATTGCTCGGCGGTTCTGTTCACCATCATTTGCACCGTCTTGCTCTCTCCGTGTCATTGTCCAGCGGTGTATTTTTACGAAAGGGGGCTGCTGCAAGTATTGCTATTGCGTGCCAAGTAATCCTGGGTGACCACGCCGCGTCGCCTTCGTGCCGTGAGCGGCCAAGTGGCTCTCACCCGGTTGAGCCGAGCCACTTCGAGCACCAAACGACTCTCGCGATCCAGGGCCGCCTCCAGCTGCTCGTCTTTAGATGCCTCCATCTCTCTCCGCTGCTGCTGCTGCTGAGGGAACAAGAAGGGGGGCGGGGGGGGCGAGAGACGTCAGCGAGATGTCAGCGAGACCTTCGCACGTGTTCAAAACGGTGCACGCAAGGCAGCGTGGCCCCAGAGAAGCCAAACCCTCCGTTGTTCCAGCACTAAGGGTTCTGCAATGCAGAGATGGGCACAGGGATCGATGTAGACGCAAACTGTCCCAGTGGTCAAAGAAATATACGTCTTGTTCGCGACATTTTTAATATTCAGAGCGATAGGAGGAGGTGCTAGGGTGGCTGGAGAAGGCGGGTATTTTTTGGTAGAAAGAGGTTGTGGGTAAGACGGTAAAGGGGCAGCCCCTTCAATGAATCATCTCACGCCACTGCTGGCAGAAGGGCCTCCACAAGAGGCAGGGGTAGAGAGCTCCACCAGAGGGCGTTGTGACCGACGCTTCCACGCAGGCCACACATCTTGGAAGATGTCTTAGCCAGCGTGGTTACATACTGTAACATATCCATTCACACTGCCTGGTTGACAGAGACAGGTCTTATTTCATAAACTTCCCCACATCATCAATCTGAGCACAAACTCAGAGGAGTTGCAAGGAAAAATCGACCGACGTGCGGGTGAAGGGGCTTTTCAGACAGCGGAAGAAAATGAACTGCGGGGCTCCGTAAGGTGGGGGTGGGCTGGGGAGGAAATGGGACGGCGTAGAACAAAAATAAAAAACACGCGAGGTTGGGAAATTTTCTGGCGGCCAGCGCTGAAAGCCTGGAGCCAAAATATTTCACCGCTGGACGAGACATCTGATAAGCGCCGCAGCTCAGGAAGTCGAGCTAAGCTTTTGGATTTTCCCATTTTTGCCAGGCAGCAGAGGGAGGGTGCGGGGGAGGGGGGTGTTAAATGTGCACCATGTCCATATGTAAGGAATTCGGAGCAGGCCAACACAAGCCCTAACAGGCATCTTTTTTCTACACACTGGAAATTCCACAAGGAGGGCAATTACCCTATGAGTGTGGTTTGGAGAGAGTGGGGCCATATGGAAAGGGGCAAGTGGGGCTCACCTGGTGGCTGGGTTGCTGTCGGCTGAACTCCGGCTCGGCTGAAGCCGAGCGAGCGTCGTGCAGCTTCTGTCTCAGTTCCCGTACCTGCGGCGCGCAACAAGACGGTTGACGATTTAGTAACAATCATCATGGTGAGAAATAATTAATTTGAGTTTTCCTATTTGTTACATGGAAAATCCTATATAATAGCCAATTACCCAGCTAGTTTGCTAAGGACATCCAGAACAAGAACAACAACACACTTGCTCTACGTCTCTCCGTATGATGAATATAATGGACGGGCTCGCTTTGAAAGACAGTGGACAGACACGTGTTTACAGACGGACATGATACACGTGCCCATACACCCCGATGCAGATACATAGCTAAAGATCCCCCCGTGTCATAAGCGAGCACCTATGAAGGCCACCAGGGTGCAAGAAGGAGGGTAATGTGGCCAGGTGCTGATGTTTACACACGTGGCACTGGGCTCTCGATTAATGCCAGAGTCCACTTAGGGGAGGGCCAGGACAGTTTTCGGTAATATTCCCAGTGTACTGCGTGCGTACGTTCTGAAGAGACGCCTACCTTTTTCTCGTAGCATTCCTTCATCAGGTGGTACTGCTTATCCCAGGCAATGTTGACGTCCAAAAGCTGGAAGAGAGAACAGCAACGCACATGTATAAGCGTTTACAAATTTCACGACAAAAGTGCCAGTGGCCACTTATCCACGTGTCAACTCTCTTGCAGCTCCTTCACTTGGGGTGGAAATATCAAACACGGCCTCCAACTCTCAGTCTTCTGTCAGCTTGCTTATGCCCCTCCCGTCTCACTGCACTATTATGACATTACACACACACACGTAAAGTGTTCTGATCTGTAATAAAGTTCATCTTTGAGTTCAGTACAATGCACGCAGGCATCTAGGCGTGCAGCCAGCTACCCGCATGGCTTTTGAAAATCGCGGCACCAAAACGCTCAACGTAATACACAACTCGCGAATTGAATACCTACGCGGTTTGCACAAAACATCGCACTGGCGGATCACGCCAAGGGCTTAATATCTCGCTCGGTATCTCTCTGCACGGAATGGCGTTGCGATTATCAGCGTAAGTGACGTCCGCTGGCGTACAAGCCAGTTACGCCTACCCACTACGACCCTGTATTAAACAGACATCGGGTAACCCCAAGCAATATCCGAGCAAAGGTGAAGCGTATGGTGGCGAGCCGATGTAAATTCTCGGAACAGCATCCCGGAAACGGACAGTCCAGTCGGAAATGAAACTCCGATAACTCTGCCTTGAGAAACCAGCCCAAAAGCATTGTTTGTGAAATACCCGAAGTGATATAAAGCAAAACAAATAACCGTGCAGTTCCCTTGGACTTTCAGTTCCCTGTCGATCGGAAGTGAGAGAGGGGGGGGGGTCAAACAACCACTCCTGGCTCTCACCTCTCGCTTCTGCTCCTCCAAGACGCGAACTTTCGTCTCCAGTTCCCGGTTGGCAAGCACATTAGAGTCCCTGCGCATTTCGGTTTTGTTCTCCATCTAAGAAGGTGGCAACAAGCACACACACACACACACCTTGAATACGCAGCAAAGACAAAGACAAAGCCCTCCACCCCCGTAAAGCCTCAACAGACTGTTGGGGTAAGTGCTGTTAGCGAACACCTATGAAGGCCGGCACGGCACACGAGGGGGTGGGTGGCCAACAGCACGCCCGGCCGCCTTTGTCTCCACAGTGGCGATGTTTATGCACTGCTCCAGGTACTCATTTGAGGCTGAGTCGACCTCGGGGGGGGGGGGGGGGGAACGACCGGTTCAGATAATCGTCACCGGTGTTGGTGGCCGTGAGCTCGGGTCGCCGAATTCGTAGCGCAGCGCGCTAACCGCTCCACTACCGCTCCCCACAATTCACACACACCCGCGTGGTTTAACACACGCTGTTACTCTACCATGGGTCAGAAACCAAAACAACAAGCAGATTTTTTTTTCTTTCGAATTCGGTATTAAAAAAAAAACCCTCTATATTTCCAGAGCCGCAATGCGCTGCGGTGGTGAATACGAGACGGTGATTGTCCTTCATAGAATAACGTCCTTCATAGAATAACGTAGAATAAGTAGCCAGCGGTCCTTCAAGAGCCGCATGCGGTAGCGGAGCCGCAGGCTGGCGACCCCGGATCAACCAACAGCCCTCCCAGCCTCGGCGACCCGCATCCCCAGGGGCGCTGCACATTCACGGCGGACGTGCATCGGCAGCCGCACGGCTAAGAAGAGGCCAAGTTGGGAGCGGTGGCACAACGCTTGAGCGCGCTGCGCCGTGAACCCGATGGGACCGGGTGATATTTCCACGCTGACCGACGCGGTGAAGTAAGTAAAGCAACCTTCCCCCATGAGCGACAAAGCGTGTTGTGGGGGAGGGTGGCTTTCATCCAGCAGTAGGCTGGCCAAGTGGATGTTTCTGTTTAAATCGCCTTCTGCCGTCCCAAAACGTCGCACCCCGCAGCGGCTGATCGCACAAATGTGGCCAGCTCCTAGGACCTAGGTGAAGAGCCGACTGAGCATTGCCTTTTGATCACAAGTTAGGGGTGGAGGGGGTCGGTGTTAAGCCGAGTTAATTAACCGAGTTTTAAACTCGAAAGCAAACAAATAGCGAATGCCATTAACCAAGGGATTTATGTTGAACTTTGTTCGCACCGTACGTAACCAACCGTGCTAATCGGAGGTGCGTGGGCGAGGATGGACAACAAACTAAACACAAACAGCAGTTCAAGAAATTCGTGCTCAATACAAGTGATTTAAAAGTGCATAGCGCCAGCGGCGTTCCAGACGTGTTGATTATAAACGTACTATCCGCAGTAGTACGCATGGGTATGTGTGTGTGTTTAACGGGTGCATGCATCCAGTGTGTGCGCGCTAACATATATAACATGCGTATGTACACACAGCAAGACGTATGCATGGTGTGTTTATATGTAAAGAATGAAGGTACGGTACAACTTTAGCGTGTGTCTAGTGGCAGGCGCGTCTGTCTGTACGTATCAAGTACCACGTAGACCTCAGGCGTCTCTACCTTGCTTTACAACCGCACACAAAGACAAAGCCCCCCCAGATAGCCTGGCTAGACCGTTCGAGCAAGTGCCGTGAGCGGCAAGCACAGCGCACACACACCACGTAACCACAATCATGACAACGCTGACTAACAGCCCACGTATAACAGTGTCTTTCACAAAGAACCTTACCTGTGTTTAGTAGTATAGCAGTGATGGACTTTGGTACTTGTTAGACTATATTTCTCCGCTTTGACACGTAAATGTTAGAATACGTTGAGAGCTGTCGTACACAGCCGGCTGAATAGTCTCTCGCTCGTTGCTTCCTCAACCCCTCTGAGCTTACTGCGGCTCGGCAAGGCGACTCGTGCTCTTTATAGGAAGCGAGCGAGGCGTGGCCAAGCCTGAGTCACGGCGAGTTCCCGTGGGGGGGGGGGGGTGGCACGGCTCAAAGCACATTGTACGACACGTGCATTCCCGGTTCGAACTGGCAAATCCCGTCCAGCACCACCAATACCCCCCCCCACACCCCTCCCCCCCACCGATGTTGCGGTTTGTGGGAAGAACAAATGGTCATATCGAAAGCGTCGTGACTGCACCGTTTACGCACAGCGAGGGAACTCAGCAATGTGCCCAAGACGCATGCAAATGTACGTCGGTGGCGATTGTTCGTCATTGATTAAGTGCGTGCAGTCATTTGGCCGATTAAGCAAATCGATAAAGAAGTTAGCTTTAGCTTGGGTATTAAAGTGTGTGGAGTTTTCATCGTGACTATCAGCAGTAGCAGCAGCAGATGTGGTTGAATGTCCACCGCTGGATGTATCTCTCCACCGCTGGATGAATGCCGCCCCCCACCAAGCCCCGCGATCCGGCGATGTGACATTTTTTGAACGTGTTATATAAAAAAATATATAAATAGATATTTGTGTTTGTTCAGCTAATTGGCGAGTCGTGCCCAGGAACAGCCAGGCTGCCAAATGGCACGAGTGACGTTGTCGGAAGGTGGCTCCGCTTTCGCGGGCGGGTCGAGGTCTCTCACTCTCGCAAGAGAGACGCACACGCGGAGACTGGGAAACGTCGATGCAGATCGACGCAGAGGGGAGAGATGAAGACTTACAGAGATATACAGAATCAGAACCTTTCAGAATCGTTATTTGGACTGCAGGAGGGATCCAATGAGCTATGAAGATCCCTTTTTGACAGATGTGCAGTATGGTCGGGTCGGCGAGTTACAGGAATAGCGAGAGACAGAGATGGGCACAGAGCACGTGAAATGCAAAGACAAATATGTCCCGTGTAGCCTTAATAGACTGTTGGGGCACGCGCAGGGAGCGAACACCTATTAAGGCCGGGACGACATACGACGGGGTGAGGTGGCCAGCACCACGCTCGGCCGTCTTTGTCTCCCCAATGCTGATGTTTACACACTGCAGCAGATATTCATTTAAGGCTGAGTCGACCAGTGGGAGGCCCAGGACCAGTTCAGATATTCGTCACTGGCGTTGGCCGTGTTTGGGGCTCGAACTTGGGGTGCCGGGTTCCCAGGGCAATGCGATAACCACTGTGCCACCGCTCCTCTCAACACACAGAGATAATCACGGAGATATACAGAACAGAGATAGACACACACTGAGATAGACAGATTTCGTGAGGCGCACATCAAGACATCGAGAGGGACGTGGAGGGAGCGAGAAAAAGAGACATTGACAGAACGGGGACAAACACAGAAAGAGACACAGACACGGAGACATACATCGACACGGAGATAGACATAGAGGTCCAATGAGAAAGGCAGACACAGAAACACACCATCATCTTCATTGCACGAGATGAAGACAGAGAGCCAGGCATTCATCTAGCAGTGGATTGTGAAAGGGCTGTGTATTATATAATACGCATTTAAGCCGTTAAATTATATTCCTAATGTATACAAATACTGCATGAGCAACATTCAAATATATATGTAAGGAAGCGTTCGAATGTTGGACAACTTCCCTTTTTTGCAAACAAAAAAAAAATCTTATTTTGCTTCGTGTGGGAGAAAACCAGAAACCCGGAAGAAAAACCATAAAACCCATAAAAACAATAAAAAAAATCCAGCGAAGAGTGGTTCGCTAACCTACTTGCTGTACTTGGACAGCAATTGCCACACCAGAGCTGGTTGGACGGATCCCCTTATGCCTTGCCTCCAAAGAAAGACCACTCCTAAGCAGGCTACCCGCCACAGCAAGCTTGCTCGAGTATTCCCGAATTATAAGACCATTCGGTAAGCAAGACGCACCTTAAACTTGTGTCAATGAAGTTGTCCGAATGTGGTCACTGACGCACGCGCCTACCGGATTATAAGACCCCCCCCACCACCAACTTTTGATTTAAAATACAGGGAGGAAAAGTTCGTCGCCTAAAATAGTTATCCGCCATGGACTTATATCTTCATAATGTCTCCTATATTATTAAAATAACAACGCTTGTTTAATGAGAAAAGGCTCGCTGAGTCTCATGACTCATTTTCAAGAGGGTCCTGTCAGATTTACACAGTAGGGGGCGATGGAGAATACCACTTGCGTAACGGTGCAACCAGCGGCGCTGTAACAGAATGACATGAATCCGCGAGAGAATGAATGACACATCATGTTAATGCGGAAGGAATCCAATCAGCGTCAGATAATCTGTTTAGGTCCAGCAATCACGGTGATAGGATTCACGTTGACGATTAAATATTTTGTATGCAAAATATCACAGCCTGATCCATATCTGGGCCTAAAGCATGACCATGATGTCTCGTTCATTCTGTCGCGGATTCACTTTATCAGCTTCAAGGGGGGCGAGGCAACTGGTCAGGTGGGGCCCTGATATTGTGATTTGTCTCGCACGGTCGCAGCTCGAGGCTATTCTATACCGCGGCTCCTCTCGCCTACTCCACGTCGTCGTGATGCTCGCGATCTCGAACATTTAACGCTGTGGGGGCGCTCCGTCTTCGCAAAATGCATCCACTACAGCTCCGTAGCAGTGCCTCTTTGCGACACCACGTTACCGCTCTAATTAAAGTGAAATACGTGGGACGTAAATGAAAGCATTTTATTTCGATTTAAAGCTTTCCGTGACCGTAGGGATTCATCTTCTTGGTTCTTTCGGTAAAATCACGTATAAGTGAAATAATAAAATAATAAAAACATTTACATAATAAATTGTATTTCATTGTTTTATTTTATTTTTTCCTTTCTACGTGACTTTACCGAAAGAACCAAGAAGATGAAAGCATTTTCATAAAATGTTAATTGTAACCGCGTTTTAAATACGTTTTTGTTCTTTTACACCGTTGTTTGAAAAATATATCACACGTTGGTTGTCAAGGGGGGGACCCAACTCGCAGCTTTGGCCACCAGGGGCGAGGAGGAGGAGAAGGAGAAGGGGGTGGGGAGGGACAAGGCACCCGCCTGCCTGCCCCGCGCTCGTTACGCCACTGGGTCCAATCTTTATGATTTGAACCGTGATGTCCGTACGCAACGGGCCTCCCCTTGCGAATTAAGCCGCGTGATCTTTACCCTCCCTTGTGGGGCGGGAGGCGCGAATGCCATGGTTAGTGCACTGGAATTTGAACCGTAAACATCTGCAAGGAGCGACGAACGCGTTAGCGGCAGATCGTGTTTATTGAGCCGCAGAGCCTCGCATCTCACCTCGCCACGATCAGCCTAGCGCAAAATACAAAGATCCCCCGTATAACCATAACAGACTTTTGGGGCAAGTGCTGTGAGCGAGCGTGAATCTATAATGCGGGTTGATGATGTGACCAACACCAACAATCCCGGCCGCCTTTGTCTTCCCCCATGAGCTGATAAATAAATGCCATACCCGGCACTCATTTAAGACCGAGTCGATCTTGGGGGAAGCCAAGGGGTTGTCATATGGCGCTCGCCACTGATGCCGTGACCCGCGGTCGAACCCAGAAGACCAAACACTGACGTCACCGCCACCCACCTCACGTGCACGTGCACAAAGGCAACTCGTATAGCCTCGAACGTATTCTAGGGACAAGTTCCGTCAGCGATCTCACCCATCAAGGTAACATGTTCTGTACGCACGCATACGCACAACGGACAGACGCCTGCACGGTAACATTTTTAATACACTGCTGGATGAAGGCCTCCCTACTCCGGGGATGTTTGACCATATACTTCACCTCCCTGGTCCGTACGAGTTGGTTCAAATAAAGCTGATGGGACCGCTTCAGATCCGGTTTCGCTCACTGCTGCTGTTAGCTGTGGCTGAGTGAAATCTATCAAGCGCTGCACCGTCATGCAGCAAAATTAAACCCCTAAGATGGTGCAATGAATACTAAAATATGTTTAAAAATCGATTAAAACAAAGAACGAATCACGTTACGTACCGCATAGTACACAACACAATTCCGATTAGGAAGTCAAAATGCAACCGCATCCAGCAGTGGACAGATGGTGTACGTTGAACTTCTTTCGCGCCGTACGTAGCCAACCGTGTTAATCGGGAGGTGCGAAATAGAGATCGTGGGTGATGGCGAAGTTCTAGCGCATCCGAAGACTCCTCGCCAAATGGGGGGCCCCAGCACCGGTCATCGGTGGTGGCCGCGAGCGGGAATCGAACTCGGGTCGCCGGGTTCGTAGCGCAGCAGTAGCGCGCCAACCGCTGCGCCACCGGTCCCCGCCACTGAGAGCCCAACAGCCCGCTGGAGTTTGCGCGGATAGACGGGGCGCGTGCCTCTCCACACGCTGTTCCGCTTTCCTCGACAGTGCCCTTGTGTCTGATCAAGCGCCAAAAGGGGAACGCGTGGGACAGAGTGTTACTTGGGCTGGGCACGTCGCTGCAGTGAATGACGGAGATGGCGAGGAGGGGGGTGGAGGAGGGTCAGGGAAGTTGGGACTCCAAAAATCCCGTCCACCACGGAGACGGAGCGGTTGAATCGGTCGTCGTGTGCAGGAGCGAGATTGTTCGTTGCATCACGACAGCTTGGGGGAATGCCTTCGTCCAGCCGTGACCAGACCGTGGGCTCGTCATGCTGCTTGGTCTCATCGACTAAAAATATCCCAATAGGAGGAGCGGGGTGGCGGTGTGCAGTAAATGTTTGATGGCATTCGTCTTTCATTGTTTCTATGATGAAGAGCTTTTTTTCCGTACAGAGAGCGGTGGGGGTGGGGATATCTACGTCGCAACGCGTCAAGCCTTCCCACGGGTGACGCACATTCTGTCCTTGACAACTCTCACACATCGCAACGTAGGCAACGTTTGCCCAGGGCGAACCACGTGTACGTGCGCGCGGTATGTTGTACTGTGTGTGCGTGTGTGACCGCAGTGACGCACACGCG